CTTGGTACTTTCTCTGCCTTGGTTCACCCTCCCCAGCACTGACCAAGAGCAGTGGATTCCTGACAGGTTGTCCATGTGAAAGATGATGGAAGGAGGCGCTGAACACAGGGGAGGGAAGAGAGGCAGGGAAGAGAGCAAGGGATCTGTTACTGAGCATGCGTGTGCCGTGGGTGATTGGAGTTCAATTCTTGGGCAGCCCTGGGGAACAGTACAGGTGTGTCTCACTGGAGCTGCTGAGTCTTGGGAAGTTCCAGTGTTGTATGGAAGCTTGCCTGTTGGGCTGCTCAAACTCAGTTCAGATTCCTGAGGGCAAGAAGGAAGAGGCATCAGAGGTTACACAGCTAATTTAGCCTCATTAATCAGGATAATGTTAATTGCTCCCCTCTTCTTAATGAAGGGCCACTAATGCGTACAGAAATACTTCATCCAAGACAACTTAGAAGTTACCTCCTCCAGGGCTCGTGCTCACGGTGAAGACTTTTCTGGGGGATGGATCCACAGCTCTGTGCACCCTGCCTAGGTGGCTAGGGCTCATGGGAAGGCAGAGCTCTAGTTCCAGGAGATTCCAGGCTAGTGAAGGAAGGCTTTGTTTAAATTATCTGTAAAAGTCATCTTAGGCCTGAGTGTGGGGCGTGTGTGTATTAGCCTGTGTGGTGATAGCTTGCGTGTACAAATAAAGCCTGTCTGAGGGTCAAAGAATGGAGCTTGCCACTAACAATCCATAGAGGTCTGGAGGTCTGTGTAGAGAGACAGGAAGTGAGGTGGCTGGGCAGAAACAGGATATAAGCAGGGAGATCCAGGAACTTGCTCTCTTGTCTGCTGAGATGAGAAGCAGGTAAGGTGAGGTGGTGGCTTCCTCCTCTCTGACTTTCTACAGACACTGCATACAGGAAATGCCCAAGACAAGCTGGCAGTCAGACACTCATAAATGTAAAATTAAAATAAGGATAATAATAAATTTCAAAGGTAGTAAAGAAGTTTGAAGTTTAGAGTACCACATGGCACGGTAATCATTTGAATTTAGAGTCTATGCTTTATTTTTAAATTATCGTAAGTAGGACCTTGTACTACCTACAAATGACCGGAAAGCAAATTATGGAGGAAGTTTTCATCTAAAGGCAGAGAAAGAATCCTTTCCACCAAGCAAATTTTGAAGAGTGAAATCAAAGCAGAAGTGACACACTTTGTGCCAGGAGCTAGCTCATTCCACACACTAAGTGGATTCTGAGGAGAACTATGCATATCAGCCGCAGTTAGTGCTTTAATACTGTTCCCATCTGGCACCTTTGTCTGACACCACAAGACATAATGAGATTATCTTCTCCGTGCTAATCCTCTCAGAAATCCAACAAGCTGAGACTGCTAACACCATCCTTTGAATTTGCTAACACCTTCCTATGGATCTGCTAACACCATCCTTTGGGTCCCCTAACGCCATCCCATGGATCCTCTACTCCATCCTATGGATCCCCTAACACCATCCTATGGATCCGCTAACACCATCCCAAGGATCTGCTAACACCTTCCTAAGGATCCTCTAACACCATCCTAAGGACCCGCCACGTTGTCTGCATTCACGCTGTACCTCCGCTCAGGGAAGAGACCCGTCTGTTCATTTCTCTTCAGGGCTCAGAAGAGGCACCCAACCCCCACTTCGTTCGGGCTGGTTGGATGAGTGATAGCTCGGCTGTGGTTTAGCTTATGGTTTGGCTTATCCTCACGCGCCCTTTCACACCACCGAGTGGCCGTACCTTGAGAATTTTTATTTCATTTCCTCTTACAAAAGGTAGCACCGTGTGGTGGCTCACCTTCACTGTGACCTTGACTGGGTCCGGAATTACCCGGGAGACACAGCTCTGGGCGTGTGTGTGTGTGTGTGTGTGTGTGTGTGTGTGTTTCCAGGGAAGACTAGCAGGGAAGGGAGAGTGGTGCCCTCCAGCGGGCTGGGGTCTTGGAGTTAACGAAACGGAAAAGGGACCGTCAACGCCCCTGGGTGCTGCTCTCCACTCTGCCCACGTTCCTGCCACCATGAACTCTGACATGCCTTCCCCACCCTGGGGACTTCACTCTCTAAGCAGTGAGCCGAGATGAATCCTTAGGCAGATTGCTTTTTTAAAAGTTGATTTGCCCAGGTGTATGAGCCCATGGAGGTCAGAAGAGGGCGTTGGGCCCCCAGAACTGGAGCTGGGGATGTTTGAGAGTCACCGTGTGGGAACTGAACCCAAGTCCTCTGGAAGAGCAGTCAGCGCTCTTAACCTCTGAGCTACCACCAGGTGGTGTTTTGTCACAGCTACAAATTCACTTATTTACCTTTATACCAGCACATACTCATTAACATTTGCACTCTGAGACTCCAAAGTGAGGCTCAGAAAGGTCAGGTAACTTCCCAGCTCGCCGAGCCAAGCTGACTTAACAGGGATACAGACTTCCCACTTGGCACCTTATTCTTTCCGCTAATCTTTGCTGTTTTGTTCATAAGTTGGTAATTCTCAAATCAGAGTTAACAGGCAAAAAAAAAAAAAAAGGCATTGGCATTTTTATGTTCTGAAGATACTTCTGCTTTTGGGCGGCTACCCCGGCTCTGTTCCGAGAAGCTGGTGATGTTCGATGGGGGCTTGCCTACTTCGTGTTGTGGCGAGGTTTGCATCCCCGGGGGTTATTTTTTGAGAGCTGAACACACTTTGAAAGGTTGTCTGCTTCCTTGCCATCCCACACTCCTTCTGTTTAGCCCTACTTTGGGCTCCCCAGCTGAGATGCATATTGCCTGCGAAATCTTCGCAATGTGATGTACTGCCTGGTTAACAACATCACGGTCAGAAATCATAGCAACCGAAGCTACTTAGAGCGTTTTCTCTCTTCGTTCTAGAGGCGGCCCCAGGCTTTATACTTAGTTTCTTTGTGATTTCATTTTTATTTTATATGCATGGCTATTTTTCCTGTATGTACACCACATATGTGCCTGGTGCCCATGGAGGTCAAAAGAGGCTGCTGGATTCTCTGGAACTGGACTTACAGATGGTTGTGACCGTCGTGTAGGTGCTGGGAACAAAACCTGGATCCCAGGGATAAACAGCCGGTGCCCTTAACAAGGAAGCCATCTCTCCAGCTCTGTGTGCTTAAAATGTAAACGTTGCTTAATGTTTTAGCAATGCTTATGTTTATTTACTTGTGTCTCTGCGTATAGAGGTCAGGGGACAGGAGGTGAGAGTCTGTCCTCCTCCCACGTGGGGTCCGTGGATCAAACTCGGTCCCCAGGCCTGGCATTAAAGTAACTTTACCCACTGAGCCTTCTCCCAGGCCCGAGATTTTGCTCAATGATTTTTGTTTGTTTTCAGACAGGGTTTCCCTGTAAAGCCCTGGCTGTCCTGAAGCTCACTCTGTAGCCCAGGCTAGCCTCAAACTCACAAATCAGCCTGCCTGGGTCTCCCCCCAAAAAGGGCTTGGATTAAAGGTATGCTCCACTATACCTGGCTTTGCTTAATCTTAACCCTTAAAAATTATGTCTCTAAACAACGTAACTTTGAAAACCAGAGTCATATGTACGGTCGTTGGGGGAAACACAGGAGTGTGACTCTTCACTTGGGATGTATACACACCTGACCTGGGTGTGTTCTGTGCTTTTCCTACGTCTTTGTCTCTGCCTATGGTTAAACATAAAGCATGAACCACCTCCTATCTCTGTTTAAAAAACTCACTAACTTTGCTGTATTATGACGGGTCCTGAATTTTTTTTTTTAATGTGGCATTGTCTTTTCACATAAGGATATACCATTAAGTATGCAGCTGTCACAGGCATTGAATGCCAATGCAGAGGTCAGTTCTCACATGTATTCCACTAGAGGTAAAGGAATTGCATATAAGTGGGCAGTAATGAATTAACCATATCCAGTAGAATAACTGATGGTGTTTAACTGGGGAAAGATCTTACACAGAAACAAGTGACTGTCACGGAGCTCCTGCTCCAAGGATGCAGACCCTGCTTCCCCATGCTCTCTGCGACCAGACGGGGCCCTCAATTTCCGATCCTCTTTCTTTATCCGGTCACACCCACACCTGTAACCACGCCCAAGGGGCGTGGCCACTGTTACAAGTGCTCAGGCAAGATATGGCTACAATTGTAGGAGATGAACACATCAGTTCGCATCTGCTGGTCACGAGCTGAAGGTTGCTTGTAGGAGAGAACGTACATTCTTTCCCAAATTTCTAAACTTACATCCATGTATGGTTGATACTGCACATTTTCATTTAGGGTGCTTAAGAAAACAACCAACACAAGTTTAAGACATCAACCTAATAAAAAGTCTCAAACCAAAATTGTAGACTCAAATCTACATATCTTTCCCACAATCTTTGTAAGATTTTTTATTGACACACAAAAGCAACATGTTTCCTTGCAACATTTGCATACATGTTTGTTTTTTGTTGATCCTCCATACCCCTCTGCCCTCCTTCAACTCCTCACCCCCCCTCATCCCCACCTCAAATCTATATATTCAAGTAAGGTTTCACACAGGCATTAACCACATAATAAAGGCAATGGGACTACGGATGATCTCAGAGAGCCCATCATGGGCCAGAAGATGGGTACTGAGAGTCAGGTGCCTAATTTGGGGGGGGGTTATGGAGAAACAGTGCAAAGTTATAAAGATGGGAAGTCCTACTTTTCATCTTTCTCAGGGTGGGGGGGGGTCTCTGGAGTCATGTTTATTTCCTCTAATTTTGGTCTTATCATTCATGAAACAGGTGTGATAAGGTCATTGTAAAGTGTAGTGAAATTTACATTTTCCACTAAATATATATATACATAATTTCAATGAATAAGAAAAGGAATTATATATCATATACATGTCCTATATGATATATGGCTATATATGTATGGTAATGATTCGTTGTGTGTAATTATGTAACAACATGTAATATATTATATATAATATTATTACATATTTTACACGCATGCACATGTGATAACTTTCCTCTTTGTTGTGACCAAACATCCACAGGTGCAGCTTAGCGGGGACATCAGGGATCACTGCAGGGAAAGGAGGCAGCAGGAGAGTGGGGTTGCTGGCTCACGCCACAGAGGACCAGGAAGCAGGGATGACAGAAATCAGGCTGGGTTATAAATCGTCCAGGCCTGTCTCCTCGGGACCCACTCCAGCCAGGCTCCCCTGCCAAGGTAGACTGTGGGTGGCACTGAATCATAGAAACTCTTAGTTGACAAGCTACGCAGTTTTACATTTTATACCAAAGGCAATAAAAGCTACTAAAGGTTTTGCAAGTTGGGGATCACCAGGGATGGGTCTGGCGAGAGGATGAACTTCCTAGAGGCTCTTAGAAAGTTCCTACCCACTTTAAATTGTGTGACCACAGGGAGAGGAGTTAGCAAATCCTAGGACACATCCCATCATCTCAAGCCCTGTTGCCTTGTCTTCACACCCTGGAGACCCACTAAAGGCCGGGATGACCCTGTAGAGCAGTGGTTCTCAACCTGGGGTTGAACGACCTGTGTGTCAGAATCTGCATTACGATTGGTAACAGTAGCAAAATTGCAGTTATGAAGTAGCAATGGGGGAAAAAGCACTTTGTGGTTGGGGGTCAGCACAATGCGGGGAGCTATTAAAGGGTCGCAACGTTGTGAAGGTCGAGGGGCACAGCTGTAGAGGCCGTAAGCCAGCTGTCTCTGTGACAGTTAAGCTGTCCATTTGCCTGGATCTGGAACCAAGTGAAAGATGACCAGGTCCCAGCGTGGGTGGCACCTGCAGACAGATGGTCCCAATGGAGTGAGGTCCTGGGACAAAGCACGCTGTGTGTTTGCTTTGCTTCTGTCTGCAGGCTGCTGCTGCTGTTGCTACGGTCCGTCACGGATGTCGCAGAGCAAGAAGACTCTTCTTTGGTCCAAGGAGATGGCTTCTGCATGATGAGCAGCCTTTCTAAATGGTGCTGGAATTAGATGCGTCACCCAGCTCTCGTGGTCCTGTATCCTGGAGGGGGACGTTACAATGAGAGCGGCTACAGCTGAGGTCTAGCATCACAGAACATTCTAGAAACAATATGTGCTGTTTTTCTGCTCAAGTCAGTAACTTCACCTTGGATGTCTCTATTGATGGTGGTGGGGTTTTGTTTTTCTGGGTTTGTTTTGTTTTTGCTATGTCTAGGGATTTTTAGGAAAAACCGCAGATTTAATCCAGTCTTGGTCCAACTTCAGTCCCTTTCAAATAACATCCTTTTGGGGGAAGTCAGGTTTTGTTCATGAATGTTATATTGCAGTGCTAACTTTGTATGGCTGTAAATGGAAAGAGACTTCGTTTAACAAGAGAGTGGCGTTCTGGAAAGTGCTTGAAATTGTTTCCAGCTTCTGCTATGATGAGACTAGTGATGTCGATTCAAGGCTATCCGACTTCTGTTCCCAAGATATTCTGTTCTTCTATTTCATAACAAAACAGCATCCACCATGGGAAATGTGACCTCTGATGTACCTGTTAGTGCTCAAAGATGAGCTGTGCCCTATTTCTTGTTTGGAGACAGATATCTCCTCCCACTTTAGAATCACTAAGTGAGTCTCTCTTTGGACCCGAGAGGGCTAAACTAAAGCTTTGTGCATTTCCATCTTTCTGGAGAAGGCCATCTGTCTTTATTGTGTTTCTGCACAATTGAAACTGCGTACAGACATTTGCCAAGCCCCAGAAATCAAAATTACAAAGCGTTGGTGGTTGGCCTTTTCACTGGGAATAGCCCGGATGTAGGGAGTGTAAAGGTAAGAAATACAAAGGCATCCAGAGTGCAGCCCTCCACAGGGGCGCCTCTCCGTGTGTCAGTGGGATTCACAGCAGAGGCCAATGGCTGCAGAAGATGCTAAGACCAGGGGTGAGTTGAGGGCTAAGCCTGGGCAAGACACTTAAGCCATTCTCTTGAGGCTTGGGGAGTATTGCAGAAAAGGGGGTGGGAATAATGTAAAAGCCACGGGATTTGAAAAGAGGCTGAAAAAGAAGTCTCCTAAGCAGGACACAGATGTGGGACACTGCCCACAGTGGTGTTGTATAATGACGTCGGGAGTGGTGGTGCATAATCATGTCAGTTGGGAAGAAACCGGCCCTCCTCAGAGTCGGCACAGAGGGAGAAGGGACCCACAGGGCCTTACACACCTGCTGATCTGCTGATAACCAGCAGATTCTGAGATCCTGGGAGGCTTGCTATTCAGTTCTGTGTGCTCTGCTGAATCCCCAGACTCCGGTGGTCAGTTCCAAACTCAGGGACACACAGATGGTCCCGACTAAATTCTATGGCATGTTAAACAAAGCCCAAACTTGTAACATGGTTAATACAAACCCTGAGGCAGATACTGAGGTTCAAACAAGGCAGCCAGACACTAGTTCTTACCTCTACCTCAGACGGAAATGGACGATTCTGTCTCCACGAGTCCTCAGAGTACAATGCAGACTGCTCCACGCTCCACCAAACCTCAGACTGCCATCCCTGAGCTCCTGTCTCCTCCTGCCTTATATTCCTCTCTCCGCCAAGGCATGTCACTTCTGTCTCTACCTCCCTCGTGCTGGAGTTAAAGGCATGTGGTCCCAGGTGCTAGCATCACCTTTGTGTGATCTGTGTCTCTTTTAGACTGGATCAGTTTTGTGTAGCTCAGTGTGGCCTCGAACTAACAGAGATCCATCTGTCTCTGCCTCCCAAGTCCTGGGATTAAAGGTGTGTGCCACCACTGCCTGGCTCTATGACTAACTAGTGTGGCTTAGCTCTGCACTCTGATCTTCAGGCAAGCTTTATTTCTTATAGCATAAACAAAATATCAACACAGGTCTCCAGGAGTCCCTAGACACACCTGCCTCTGCCTCCCCAGACCTGGGGTCCCAGGCTCAGAATGTCAAACTTGGGTCATGGGCTTTACTGCCTGGGTGACCTCCTCAGGTCTTAGTAGTGTGATTAAGGGCTTCCATAAGATGGGCGTGGTCACTGTGACAAACTATGCCAACAAGAGCAACTTAAGGAAGGGTTTGCTCGGCCACGGTATGAGGGTCCAGCCCGTCATGGCGGAGAGAGCAGGCGTGGAGGCAGGGTCACGAGTAAGCCAGCCACACACCACATCAGCAGCCAGGGAGCAGAGAGAGGACTGCCCGTGTGCAGCTCTCTTACCCTTTTCAATTCCCTCCCCGACTCCAGTCCATGGGATTTGGCCACCCACATGCGAGCTGGGTCTTCCCACCTCCGTTGATGGATCTAGAACTCCCTCAGGGACACACCCCTTCCCCTGTGACTCTAAACCCGGTGAGTTGGCAATCGAGGAGTCATCCCAGTGGGAACGCATGGCGCATGGCACAGGGGCTCCACATTGGGGGGAGTGTCAGCTGGCCAGCAGCACTCCCCGCATCTCTCTCAGCGGTGCATCAAGCAGAGGGGAACACAAGGAGCTCTCATCCCCCACTGTCATGTGCTCCGGGACCGCAGGGACCACGGCACCACATCTTGGTGTTTCAGGAGGCAGGAGGATCATGAGTTCGGGGCCAGCATGGGCTTAAGTGAGAAGTTTTATTAGAAAGGGGAAGGAGGGGGAAGGAAAGTGAAGAGAGAGAGAGAGAGAGAGAGAGAGAGACAGAGAGAGAGACAGAGAGAGAGACAGAGAGAGAGAGAGAGAGAGAGAGAGAGAAAGAGAGAAAGAGAGAAAGAGAGAAGAGGAAGACAGGAAAAGTCCCATCTGCCCCAGGGAACAGCAGGAAAGAGAGAGCAGAGTGGGAAAGAGCGTAAGTGGGCGGGGTCTGTCTTCTAAAGGGGTCCTTTGCACCTGCACGCAAACTACGCAACCATGGAACCTTGGGCTGACCAGGGTACTGCCTGAGTGCATTCTGCCAGGTGACAGGGGCAGCCCAGCGTAATGACTGAGTCCTTACATCAGTGACATGTTTCTTCAAGATGGTTTCCTGGATGGCTGTAGCCTGTGAGCATTTCTGTTTCAACGTGGGAGGCTGATCATCTTTTAACACTTATCATGCATGTGCGTGTAAGCATGCATGTGTGTGTGTGCACATACACGTGTAGACACTTGCACATGGGGACCAAGCATTGACATTAGGTGACTCTTTTGTAACTCCCCACTTTATCTTTTTTTATTTGGTAGACAGAGTCTGTCTACATAGCCCTGGATGTACTGGAACTCACTTTGTAGACCAGACTGGCCTCAAACACAGAGATCCACCTGCCTCTGCCTCCCGTGTGCTGGGGTTAAAGGTGTGTGCCACTGCTCCTGACTTCATTTTATAATTTGAAACAGGGTTTCTCATTGAGCATGGAACTCTCTGATGCAGTCAGACAGACTGACCAGCAGACCCCCAGCTCTTTCTGTTGGTGCTGGCATTTGCAGGCAGCCAGAGTTTTTCTACATGAGTGCTGGAGAGCAAACTCAAAACCAAGGTGCATGGCATTTGAAGAAAGATACCCAAGGTCAACTTCAAATTTCCACACACACGTGCACCTGTATATACACACACACATGTATATGCACATACATACGCATGCACACACACAGACACATATGCACGTACGAACACATTCACACACATACATATACATACACACATACACATACACAAGTAAATACATAACATGCAATAAAAACACATACATTCACATGCACACACATAGACACATATACGCATACGAACACATTCACACACACACACACACACACACACACACACACACACACTGAAATTTGCTCCAGTGGCTGCAGGAAGTGACAAGTCCCATCTCCAAGGTGAAGGCAGGAAAAGGCTAGTGTCTCATCTTATGGACCGTAGGCTGGGAGGATTGTCTCTTACCCAGGGGAGGATTAATTTCTCTTCTCTTTAGGCTTTCAGGTGACCAGATGAGTCCCTCCCACACTGAGAGGAGAGATCAGGTCTTACTCAGTTACTGAATTTATCTCACCCCCAAGCCCTCATGGAAACATTTGACCGAATCCTTCGACTTCTTATGATCCAGGTCAAATTGACAATGTAAAACTAAACATCACAGCATGTATGTATGTGCATGTAGACATACATAACACACATCATGTACATATGTCTATATGCATGTATTCAGATCTACTGATTGACGTGCTTACCTGGGTGCACACACACAGAGACTAGACAGCTCTGTGTTGCTAAGTGTGTGTACACAAAGGGAGACTGACGTGTATGTGTACTGTGGTAAAGAATGCCTATTCTGCAGAAACTTGCTCTGCACGGAAACCCACAAGCTTCCTTTAAACAACAAACACACCTGTTAAGTGGCAGTCAGAAAGAACTTTAAATAGAAAAGCATGCCTCTGGTCACATGACATCTTTCTACAAATCCCTCGTGGGGAAAGATCCCGGAGACAAGACTAATGGGAAGGCACACGTTACTACATGTGGTGTTCCGTGCTTTTGTTCTGGGTTATGTTAGCGTGCGATAGGCCAACCTTCTGGACCTTCCTGCTGAGCAAGAAGCAAAAACGGTTTTTAAATCTTAGGACTCTGAAATTTGGCGACAAAGCTTCATTCTTCTCTAGTTGGCTGTTTGGTGACAGGAGAGCTTGGCAGAGTGAGGGGTGCTGGGGAGAGGGCGCTATGACAGGCACATTAAGAAGTCCTAGGAGGCTGGGTTACTTTTTACTTTTTTCTAATAATTAGTCAACATACTTAAAGAAATGCCCAGTGAAGCAACTGGAATGCTACTTCTACAAACAATGTTTTTGCGCCTGTGAAATGGCTTGAGGGTGAGAGCATCTGGTGACTTGATTTTAGTCCTGGGATCTCACGGTGGAAGGATAGAGTTGTCCTCTGACCTCCACAGGTGCACCACGGCATATGTGCACGCACGCACACACACACACACACACACACACACACACACACACACACGTAAATACACAACATGCAATAAAAAGCTCCAAACTTTTTCTTGGAACTAAAGTTCGGCTTTATAAAACACGAAATCTGAGCATGGGAGCAGAAATCCGAAGATCCCTCTAATTCCCACTAGCATTCCCGAGACTGTCCTCGCAAAGCTGACTGTGTCTGCTGGAATTCCTTTGTTTCAGCTTCTGAGGGTGCTCGCCACAGCGCAGCTCTGTATGGAAAGTGGATCACAGACAAACTTGCAGCATAATTATTTTGCTGACACAATTGAATAGGAGCCTCAGTTAGTGGCAACTGAGACAGGGGACGTTTGCCCGTGACAATGACCTTTGTTTTCTCTTGTGCTGGAGGTGTGACAGTTAATCAGATATTTGAACAGGAGCGATAAGGGACAAAGACTTTACAGACCACAGTGACAAAACTGTCCAGAAAGGACAGCCACCCAATACGCTTAATCCCCACAAAGGACAAACTGGTCTAATTTTTAATTATTATTATTTAATTATTGTTTACAAATGCGGAGCCCTTTCCTTTCTGGCCTCTTAACCTGCTTTGTGGGTGTGTAGTGCGGGCAGAACTGTGGAGTGGGTTCGGGCGCCATCCCCGGCCCCCAGCACTGCCCAGATCCCCTTATTAGAGACAGACTCCCAAGCAGGAATATCATTAGGTCACATCAACCCGACAGAGCAAAGCAAAATATCGACAGTAGGACTATGGGACATTCATGCTCCTCAAGCCAGGGGTGTTGTCTTGCTTGTCACATCTCCAGAGCACAGAGCCTGGCAGACAGGAGGCCAATAAATACAAATTCTACTGGACTTGGACTCCTGACACTTTTCCAGCTCTATTCTCATCAGCCCTATTAGGTTTAATTTTGATGGATGTGTGTGTGTGTGTGTGCGTGTGCGTGTGTGTGCGTGTGCAGACGTTAGAGGACAACTTCCGTTGTTGACCAGATTCTGACATTCTGGGGCGATGGTTGCAGAGGCTGAGAAAGGCTTTGTGTTTATGTGGTCAGGCCATTGTCCATTTGTAATTCACTCTCAGGGATGTAACCCTGCTGGCCCCTCCTCCTTCAGCGTCTGCCTCAAACGCTGTGACTCCCACCTCCCAGCCCTCCCCTCACCCTCCCCATTCTGAGTCTCCCAAGACCAGTCAAGACTCCATCCTGGATTCTGGAAGCATCTTTTTCCTCTTCACCCACTCTCCAAGTTGTTCTCCTCATCTCTTGGGAGAGCAGGGACCTCTGCGTTTCCTTCCTGCACAGTAGAGGGTCCTCCATATGTCTCCACCCCCTCTCACCGCATCTGTGTTCCATGGGGAAACACTTTTGTTTGTTTCCTGCTTGCTTCATCTTCACAGAAACCAGATCTTGCTGGCCCTCTTTTAGAGGCAATAACAGAGGTTATGAAGAGCTTTGAGAAACGCTGTCCATCCGTGAGAAGATGCTGTCTTATTTATTTTGTGTTTCTCTCATGTGTATGCATGTGTGTGAGAGAGAGAGAGAAAGAGAGAACACTTGCTTTTGCATATGTGTGGAGGCATGTGTATAACCTGTGTGTGTGTTCGTGTGGAGGCATGTGTATAACCTGTGTGTGTTCGTGTGGAGGCATGTGTGTAACCTGTGTGTGTGTTCGTGTGGAGGCATGTGTGTAACCTGTGTGTGTGAGAGAGAGAAAGAGAGAACACTTGCTTTTGCATATGTGTGGAGGCATGTGTGTAACCTGTGTGTGTGCTCATGTGGAGGCATGTGTGTAACCTGTGTGCGTGCTCGTGTGGAGTCCCACAAGTGATGCTGAGAATCCTCTCCCAGCGTCTTCCACTTTATTCTTTGAGGTGGGGTCTCCGGTGAGCTCAGAGCACACCAATGTGGCTGGTCTGCTAGCCAGGTTGCTGTGGAGAATTCCCTATCTCTGAGACTTGAATTACCATTGGCACACCATCCTGACCCCACCCACCTGGGTCCTGGGGATCCAAACGCCAGTCCTCGAGCTTTCTTAACCTCAGTGAGCTAGTACCAGCATCTCAGTCTGAAGAGGGACATTTTATTTCCCAAGGGAACTTTAAAATACATAAAAATTCAGGTCACTCGATATTTAAAAACTCAGCGTGAACATCTGATGTACACAAAGCAGCTGAGACCTTGAGTTGTAATGCTGGCAGGAGAGCACTTTCCCGCTGGCGTGTTCGCCCAGCTGTAGCCATTTACTGGGGGTATTAATATAGCTATTTCCTGTACGCTAAGGCTTTGTCCAAAGTGCTCCGAAACACTCGTGCAGGATGTGATGCCCTGTCCTTCACCCTAGTAATGACTAATTAGGAGACAGAGCCATGCAAGGTGACCCATACCTGTGACCCCAGTCCTTGGAGGATCAGGAGTTCACAGGCAGCTTTGATGCCACAGTCCCGGGGACAGCTTGGGCTACGTGAGCCTGGTCATAGCTCTGGGTACCACAGAGTAAGAGAATGACAGCGTGTGACAAGATGACCAGTGGTGTGCGCCAAGAAGGACGCAAAGCAGCCTAGAGGCTGTCAGGACAGAAAGACAGAGGGCAAGCTCATCTGTCTCCCTGTCCTTGGTGATGATTCATTTTGCCCTTTGGTTGCAAGTTTGTTGCTGAATCTCAGTGAATAAAATCACAGCAACTGAATTATATCCCAGAGTTGGAGAGTGATCAGGAAGGAATCACCACACACAAATGTGCACATACACAACATACACACACATACACGCTCACATTCACATGTGCAATCACACACATCCATACACAAATCACATACATAGGTGCATACGCATACACACGCACACACACACAAGTTCACATGCACACATGTGAACACACATGCACACACTCATACGCATGCATTCACACACATATCCATACACAAATCACATACATAAATGTACACACACACACACACACACACAGCCTTGGCTACATTTCTGGGAATATGGCTAACTTTTAACCCTGAGCATAGATGCGGCTGACTCAGCTCCGTGGGTTTCACTGGCTCTGAATTCAGAGAAGTATTGTAATATGATTTGCTTATGAAGGTTATGAACCCAGTGGGCTTTTAGTACAGGCGGCCAGTTTCTTACTGCAAGAAAGATTGTAAGAGTCATAAATCAACGTCCTGTAAGGACTGTCTACAAGATTACCCTGTTCTCATCCTTGGGTCTCCTGGCAGCAGCGGCAGGAGGAGCCAGGACTGGACACCACGCTCAGTGAATGACAGGCCTCTGTGATTATTTCTGCTTGGCTGTCACAGGATAGAATCAACGCTCCTCAGGAAAGCAGCAATGATTTTCAAAGCCGTTGTGTAGTAGGAAACAAATAGCTACACGGTAAAATATTCAATGCTCTAAACCCCCCTTGCAGGGAAGTGCTATGCTTACCAGAAATGATCATTATATTCTCTACGTTTCTATTTCTTCTCAGTCCATTCGCTTCATCGCCTCAAGACACGCGAGTTGCTCACCTGTTTGCTGTTTTGAGACAGGGTTTCATGTCACCTCAAGCTCCCTGTGTGGTTAAGCCTGGGCTTGAACCCTCAATCCTGTTTGCATCTAGGATAGCAATTATAGGTATGCGCCACCATGCCTGGCTGCATCTTCTACTGCTTTGGTGTTAAAGAGCAGAAACTCAGAGGCAGTCTGTTCACCAGCTTTCCGTGGCCATGATGAAATGCTCGATATAAACGACCTACAGGGACGGGAGGCCAATATTGACTTGCAATTTCAGTCCGTGGTTGGCTGGCTCTGTTGTTCGTGTCTGAGGCAACGTAGGATATCATGGCCGCAGGTCTGTGTAGCACAGGTGACTGCTGAGGGGCAAGGACAAGACATGACGTTGCCAAAGATGGAGTCGCACCGGCTGGTAGCTTGTGGGTGACGAAGAGCTCTCACAATCCAACAAGTCACTCTCTAAAAGCTCCACCTCTGAACACGACTGCACTGGGGCCCAAGACTTCCCGACAGCTTACACCCAAGCATAGAAGACCGCATTGTGCATTTCCATCTGCTGCCTCTAGGTGGGGCTGTTGATAGGAAGGGCCCTGTGTGACTCGACTCTAGAGATGTCTCTTGCTTGACTGGAAGCCTCAGCTAGTCCACTAGTATAATGTAGGTTCAGTGAGAAAGGACTTAATGATCTAGCTTCGTTAAAACCAGAAATGGATTTATGTGTGGGGGGAAAAGTCACAACGGATGTCATGTCGAGGTTGTGTAACCCTGATATCTGCGGGATGGTAGAGACAGGACAGCTAGGGTCTCAGAGAATGTTCCAGGCCTTCTCCAGCAGTCAGGCAGGCAGCCAGCCCAGGAGGGCATCAGTAGCCCTGTGCCTGACACCACCCCAACCTCTCAGATTTCCCTGTGCTTAAGGGACAAAAAGAATGTATACACCTGAAACCCAATCTTTTCTATTTTAGAAAAGATTGTATATATGTATTATACATGTGTGTATGCGTGTGGGTGTTTTGCCTGCATGTATGTCTGCGAACCACTTGTGTGCCTGGTGCCCATGGAGACCAGAAAAGAGCATCATTTCCCATGGGACTAGAATTACGGGCAAGGTTGTGAGCCATCATATGGGTGCCGGGAGCTGAACACAGGTCCTTGGCTTGAACAGCCAGTTCCCTCCAGCCACCCAATCTTAACCGCTTTATAACTGTCATATGCAGCTAAGGTATCATAGTATAAGATACTAACATTGTAACATAAAGGGATACTTTTGTTCACAACACACATTCTGTGTGGGCGTGGGGGGGTTCGAGGGCAATCTCAGGTGGTGTTCCTGAGTGTCATCTGTTGTCTTTCTCAGACAGGGTCTCTTATTGGCCAGGTAGGCCAGGCCAGGGAGCCCAGCCATCCTCCTGGTTCTGCCTCCTCATCACTGAGACTATAACCTCCAGGCTTTGGGTTTGGGGATCAAATGCAGGTCCTCACACTTGTGAGGCAAATGCTTTACCAACTGAGCCATCTCCCTAGCCCATGAGGAATCTTCACATCGCTGGGATAAATGCCGGAGCTGGTGACTGCCACATTGTAAGTTACGTCTGGTTTGAGTTCTGAAAGACACAGCGGCATCCCTGCCTAAGATGATCTGTGTCGTCTAACTCTCTATAACCGTTTCCTCTGCCTTTTTGCTGCCGTTTGGTGTGGTTACCATTCTTCTTAACACCTTTTGATAGCTGTCTATCGATGTCTGAGTGTGGCCCCGATGTGCATTTCTCCAGTGGCTAACAATATTCAGCCTCTCTAGGTGCCGCCTGCTTGTCAGCTGAGTGTATTCACTTCATGCTTCCTTGCTTGTTTGGTTTGGTTTGGTTTTGGTCCATTTTAAAATTGGATTGCTTGGAGTTTAGTTTTACTGTCCCTATGCTAAAAATTCTGCATGTATTCTTGGTAAGTTCTTGGTTGCATATGTGATTTGAAGATGTTTACTTCTATCATGTTGTGTTTTTCTGACCATCTTTAGTAGGATTAGTCACAGAACGGTGCTTTAAATTATCATGAGACCCAATTTATTCATTTTCTTTTTCTTACTAGCTTCATCTAACAAATACTTATTGACTGTGTATAACTTACCAAGATAATGTTGCAGACACTCCATTGTAATGAAAGCTGTGACATGGCTCACTTGAGTGTTGTTCCAGTCAGTGAGAGAATACTTTAAAAGTTAATGCTGTGTAACAAGGGCTAAGTGGGATGCAACAGGCAGAGCTGTGCTCTTGGCTGATGGAAGGTCGTGGATGAAGGTTCAAATTTGCCATTTCTGTGCCAGGAAGTGCCCAAAGCAACATCGTAACATTATTTAAAAATCCACCTTCTCCAGGTTACAAATGGCAATGTTTTATAGCTAACATATGCTAAATTTTGTTATGCACAAAACAATTTCACATTGTACTAATAATTAAAAAAGTTCCAGGGCAGTAGAGAAGGTTACACAGGGTTTTATATTTGGTGAGCCTAGGATTTAGCTAGGTTAAGGGGCGTGTCTCAGTTCACATCCAGTAGGAGATGAGCTCAGACCAGCACTCCAGTCTTGTGATTAATGCTCTTTTAATTCTACCCAGAATCCTCTCAAGACACATCCTTTTGCAGCCAGTACAAACTCATCAATCTTCTAAGAAGTAGACGGTCTGAGTTCTGTTTTAAAAGAAGACGGGATACAGTTCCTTGTGTGTTCAAATGTCAAACCGCTCTTCTTCTTCGTGGAGGAAGAATCCATTAAAACCCATCCAGTGGTCATGATGATGCTGAAAATGGAAAAAAAACCATTCTTCTCTGAGTTATGGTAGGCAAAAGAGGGAACACATCTTTCTTTATATGAACTAATGTTTAGATTGTATTGTGATTATTTATACGTATGTCACATGTATGCAGTTATCCATGGAAGCCAGAAGAGGACGCCAGGTCCCTGGGAGCTGGAGTTATAGACAGTTTTGAGCCACCAGATGTAGGTGTTAGAAACAAAGCTTGGGTGCTCTGCAAGAATAGCTGTGCTCTGACCCTCCAAACCATCTCTCGAGTCTGGCAGCATTTTCCTGGATAGAGGCTCAGGATGGAGTGAGCATGGAGGTCACAGTTTGGAACTTTTGTTTGCCATGATCTTGGACACATCTTCAAGGTGCCAAACCTTTCAGATGATGCACTAAAAAAATCAGTGTTATCTCTGGTAAGGACTGAAAGCAGGCCCTTCCCGGACTGAAGACTTCGAGCGGGGGCAGGGCTCCTTCTGCTTTATGGGTTTCTGCTGTGAAATATTACCTTAATTATGTAAAGACATATTGCTAATGCTGCATTTGTTTAATGATGCTAAAGATGTGTTGCTGTTTCGCCTTGCCTGCCCAACACACCTGAAAGGTCTAATAAAAAGCTGAATGGCCAGTGGCTAGGCAGGAGAGGGCTAGGTGGGGCTGGCGTCAGGCAGAGAGAATAAGTAGTAGGAGGAATCTAGGTTCAAAATAGATAGATAGATGGATGGATGAGAATGAGAGAGAAAGAGAGGGATGTAGAGAGAAGCCTTCCCGCCAGCCTGGTTCCAGAGCTGCATTAGTCCCAAATGAACACACAGAAGACTATATTAATTATGAAGCTGTTGGCCGTTTGCTTGATTTCTTACTGGCTATCTCTGACTTAAGTATTTACTTCATAATTGTTAATCTAAGTATTTCTCTTACCGGAGAAAAGGGTCTGGATTTCTTACCCCTATGACAGCTACATGATGACTCCCTGTGTTTCTCCTTCCCAGAGTCCTCCTCGACTCCTAGTCCCACCTATCTTGCTTCCCTATTGGCCAACAGTGCTTTATTCAACAACCAATAAGAGACAGATTTCAGAATGGCATATCCCATCAGAGGGGGACACTCTGGGCCAGCCAGTCAGCCACCAGACAGCCAGACACAGAAGATATGGGGAAAGTAAAACACACAGAATGAAAGAAAAGTAAAAAGTCCAGAGGCAAAGTGTAGATGAAGAGAAACTGATTAAATCAAGTTATAAGAGGTAGTGGGACAAGCTGGTTGGTGGCACTGTATCACATAATCTTTGAGCCCAGTCCCCATTAGGAAGCAGCCCTCTTAGGCCCATGAGAGAGAGGCCCTTTGACAGTCTACACTCATAAATCTACATTGCAGGGTTAGGCTCCAGCTTCGGAAGCTGTGATCTTCACCAGGTCTAGGTGAAAATGAATCTCTCTGTCACTTCAGGGCATGCACCCAGAGGACTCTATATTCTACCCCAGAGACATTGCTCATCCACACTCCCTGTTGCTCTATCACAACAGAAAGGAAACGGAAGCAGCCCTATCTGTCCACCAGCAAATGCACGCATAACGAAAATGTGGTATGTGAACACCATGGGGCTTAATTCATCAGTGAAGAAAAATGGAATTATGAAGTTGGTGGAAAATGGATGGAACTGGAATATATTATATTAAATCAGGTTAATCCAGGGTCTACATTTGCATCTGCAGACAGCAGGAAGAGAGTGGGAGCCACCGGGCCTGGCTTGAGCATTTGCAACCTCAAATCTCACCCCCAGTGACCTACCCCCAACAAGGCCACACCTATCCCAAGAAGGGCAAATCTGCTAATAGTGCCATTCTGTATGAGCTGGGGGTGGGGGACATTTTCACATTTTCATTCAAACCACCACACCCACCTGCCTGCCTTGGAGTTTGAATGCCCATGAATAAATAAATAAACGTTTAAAAGCGACACCAGTCTTTACAGTGCTCACAGGCTATATTCGTTGAAGAACGACAGATGTTTTAGTTTATTTTTATTTTATGTGTATGAGTGGTTTGCCTGCATGTAGGTCTGTATGCTGTTTTGTTTGTCTGGTGCTTGTGGAGGCCAGAAGGGGGCTGCCGATCCCCTGGAACTGGAGTTACAAACGCTTGTGATTCGACATGTGAGTGCTGGGAATCTCACACTGGCCCTCTGAAGCAGCAGACAGTGCTGTTAGCCTGTGAACCATCTCTCCAGCTCAGCACATGCAGGTTTTGTTGGCTGATATAATTTCCCCAGGAGACGGGCCTCATTCTTGGAAGCTTGTAATCCCAGCCCAGGGAATGGTTTTACCCGTAGTTAGCATAACCAAGATAATCCTCGCGTGGAGTGCCTAGAGGGCCATCTCACAGGCGGCCCTGGAGATTGAGGTTGATCATCACAATCACGAATTACACAGATTTCCCCAGTAAGAGCATGTACTGGCTGGGTTTGGTGGCAGGAGCTGAGACACGGGGAGACAAGGGTGGGAGGGAGACTTGAGAGCTGTTGAATGTTGAATGTGTGGATATTAACCGGGCTTAGCATGATAAATACAGTTAGGATGGATAATAAATAAAACACACACAAAATAAGCTTTCTTTCGTTTTAGCGGTTTAAAAATCCCTTGAGGGAGGAAACTGATTCTTTAGAGGAACCAATGCAATGCCTTACACGCTCTTATTTAATTTTCCACCCTCGCTGCTCTGCAAAGGCGTTTTCCCATTTACACTGCATGCATTTACATAGGACACGGCCTCAGTGCATTGACCTGTGAGATTTAGACCTGGGATTTTGGAATCACCGGTGAAGCACTCTAGAAGCTTTATTCCCATGGAGTCACTGATCCACAAATGGACACTACCCAGGTGTTTTCCCAGCGGAGCTGCTGGAGGCTGAGGCCGTTGGTATCTCCGGGCCCGGGCTTGCTGGGTGTAAACGCGCAGTACAGCCGTAGATTGCACGGCGATCTTAACACCTAGTCATTCTTTAGTGACCAAGGACTGCAGACAACTCCTCACTTGCAGCAGTCGCGGCGGCTGTGGGGGCACGCGCGGGATTAGAACACCCCCCAGAGCCAAGCGCGAAGTAGTGTGTGTTGAATGAATGAGCGTGGCTAGCTAGCATACTAAATTTCCCGGAGAATAACGCAATCCAGACCGGGGTCACAAAGGTGACTTTAAAACACCCTGGGGGCAGTGGAGTGAGAGGAGGCGTTAATGGAGAGCCACTGTCTTTGGTGAGGTTGGAGCCTGCAGATCGCGCTGTTCCCAGGATCAGGCAGGCCCAGGTTGCGGTGACCCATCCCTCAGCAGGCAAGTCTCCAAGGCTGCAAAGCCTGCCTTCCGCTCTAGTGATGACCCCAAGTTAGGTCTAGTGTGTTTGAGGGGGTGCTCACGATCGCGACCCCCCGCACCGCACTGCGCCGCAGCCCGCTGCGCCCCGGGTGCGCGCAGCCCCAGCCCCGCCTCTTCCCCATGAGCCCCGCCCCTCCCGGCGCGTGCCACCCGCGCACCCGGGGAGCTCGCGAGGAACCCGCGGGGTAGGCGGCCGGTGTCCCGGCGCAGGCGCGCTGGTGTCGCCGCCGCTCCCGCCAGCCGCCCCGCACGCGCCCCCGCCCCGCCTCCGCACGCGCCGCCGCCCCGGGCGCCTGTGATTGGCGGTCAGCGGGGCCGGCAGGTGGCGGCGGCCGCAGCGGCTTGGGCTGGCGCTGGCTGGGTGCCTGGAGCGGGCGCCTCCCTCGCCGCCGCGCGCCCTCGTCCTGCCCGCGCTGCCCGGCTCCCGCTGTGGCTGCCGCCCCAGCTCGGGCGCACCAGGGCTCTGCAGCCTCGCGGTCGCGCGCTGGGGGCTGCGGCAGGTGACCCGGGGCCACCGGAGGCGCGGTGGCCCTGAGCCTGGCCGCCATCCATGAGCCTCGCTTCGGACCTGCTCCAGGCCGGCCACCCCGGGTGAGTCCTCAAGCCCTCCCCTCCGCGCCCGCAGCTAGCTGCCATGCTCCCCTGTCACGTTGCGGTAACTTTTGGGGTGGGTGTCTGACGATGTCGCGCGCGCGGTCCCCCGCACCTGGTGCGCGTCCCGGACCAGGGCTGCTGGGCATGCCAGCCTGCCTCTGCGAAGGGGCTGGTGGGGTCTTGAACTTGGCCGGGACAGAGTCAGGTCCGCCCCTTTCCGTGGCTGCCGGGGCGGGAGCTGGCCCCCGCGTTTCCGCGCTGGCCACGTAGCGCTCAGGCTGCGGTGCACCGCGCACCTTGCTAAGGGACTCGCGCACTGGCGGGCGCCTCAAACCACCCGGTGCGCACCCGGCTTCTGGCCAGCACGGGCCACATGACTCATTTTCGACTCCTAATGTTTGTAAAACGGGGCTATTAGGGACTCGCGGAAGGTCACGGCCGGTGCGCAGCGTTAACCCCCAAGGCGGACTGCGTCTGGGCTCACCCCTGACTGCCTGTAGAGGAGAGGTGCGCTGGTGAAGGTACTGGGCGCGGTGTCGCTTTTCATCATGGTCTCTTTCTCAACCTCCTCTCCCCATCAACACACCAGGCTTGGAGAGATCACGAGCCCACCCACAGGGTCTCCACAGAGGTTTTGGGGTAACCTTCTGTGTGAATGTGATATGGCGCGTTTGTGTGGTGGGAGCCCTCGCAAGTGCGGCACCTGAGACACCATCCTCTTCTGGTCACTTAATTGACTGATGTTTCTGCAGAATGCGGAGTCGGGACTCTGCTAAGCGCCGGGCGCTTCCGGTCTCCCAAATAAACCCTGTCCACAAGACCTGTGTCCCAGCCACTCTTTCAAGGCACACACCAGTGAAGGCCGAGGAGAGGAAGCTGGCACGCGGCTCTCTCTAAAGGTCTTTGCACTCTGCTCCTAGAAAATTCCTTGAAATGGACTTCGTTTCTGTCGACCCCACCCCCAGCCCCGTACTATGCATTTTGTTTATTTTTTTGAGGCTTTCCCAGGGAGAGATGAAAGCCTGTCCCAGTTGCTGGCAATGCGATTCAGAGCTTGGAGAGGCTGCTCTCCCATTTTGGGCTGGCCATTACCCTGTTCCCACATGACCTCCAGACACCACGCTGACACTCAGTGACGACGACTCCGCTGCTGTAGTCCTGTAATGATTGATTGACAGGTGTCTTCTGAACCTCGTAGTGTTTATTTATAAGATGGAACAACCCTGTTTTCAGTCGTCCCAAGGCTCTCGGGGTTCCAGGGAAAGTGGGAAGATGTTCTGGGATTGAGGAATCAGGTGGAAGGGAAGATGTTGCAAGGGATCTTTCCGGAGGGGAGGGGTGGTGTGGAAACGAGGCGATTCCAAGGATTTGGCAGCAGCATCAGGAATGTCTCTTTTCTAGAGACATTTGGTTTTGACGAAGCTTTGAAGACTGATTTCCATCTTTACATTTGTGTCCATGGCCTGGATGTGGGCAGCTGTGTCTCCCTAATTACTCCCCCACCTATGGGGAGCCTCTGGGCTAGAAGCTGTGTCTCTGGAGCTGGGGGCCTCTCTGGGGACATAAGGAGGTCTCTCTGTCTCTGTCTCTGTCTGTCTCGTGTGTGTGTGTGTGTGTGTGTGTGTGTGTGTGTCTGGGCACATGTCTGTACAGTCAAGCATGTCTCTGTGGAGATGGTGTGTGTGACAGGATTCTCTTTGAGATCTGGATTTTAATATTTCTGTGCGGAGGGAGGGGTGGGATTTGTTCACTGTTGACAGAGGGAACTGCTATCCACATCTGGTCATTTAAGTTAGCGGTCTCATAGAGCATGTCCTGGGGTGAGGTGGGGTGGGGTGAGGTGAGTGGGGTGTGAAAACGTGACTGTGGCTTTGGTGTTCAGATCAGTTGGACTCTCTTGCCAACAAGTGCCTCTTAGGAGGGCTCTCCTCCTCTCTCCCCCTCCTCCCTGTCCTCCTCTCCTTCCTTCCCCCTCCTCCTCTTCCTCGTCCTCCCCCTCCTCCTACTCCCTCCCTGTTCACCTGCTTAGTTCTCATTGTTTTTGACATGACCTTGTCTGAGTTCAGGTAAAGCAGGATTGTTGATCAGCCCTGGTCAATTTGTTTTTCACATTTTATTAAAGTATAATTGCAAAGTTGTACAGCTCAAATATGTGTATTTGGGGCCCTCAGTATTTGTATATTTGGGAGACGGCTCAGCAGTTAAGAGCACCAGTGCTCTTTCAGAGGACCAAAGTTCGATTCTTGGCACCTGTATGTTGCCTCATAACCAATTGCAACCCCAGTTCCAGGGGATTTGACACTCTATTTCCACCTCTGCAGTCATAGCATATGCACGATACACACATCCACCCAGGCGTGTATACACACAGACATATAAAATAAGTAAATATTTAAAGTGTATGTTTGATGGGTTTTCATAGACTAGCCACACCTGTGTGTCTAGTGTCCACATTAAGAACAAAAAATTTCATTCTCCCTGTAACTCATGCAAGGAGTAGTCCCCAGGGGTAGCTGTTATATTTAGTTTGGTTAGGCAAAGTTCATTTCATTTTTAGCATATGTTTGACTCTCAAGCTAAAATGAGACTTTAAGGGTCTTGTTTTCTCTAGCCTCCCCTTTTAAGACAGTGTCTTATCTGTAGCTCAGGCTTCACGGACCTCTCTACAGTCCCAGCAGTGTGAGCCTCGAATTGCTTAATGTTTTTTTTTTAACTTTTTAATGAATTCAAACCAAGAGTCATTTATCTATAGCAGAAGGCTAGCAAGGAAAGTTTGATCTTAGGATCTGGGTGGAGAAATAAGTTGACATTCCCACCATGCAGGGCTGATCAGTCCCTAGATATAGCAGGCATTGATGAGTGGAGTTCAATTTACTCCCCCGAATTGCTTCTGTGTTGAGTAAATTTGAAGGGTGCACATCTTAAATGGTGTGAGGTGAGTAAAAAACTATGAATGAGCTTATTTTTAATTCCTCAAAGTTGAAAGTTGGATGGGATCAGAAAATGTCAACTGATTTATGGGGCTGTTGCCTCATGGTAGCACCGCGTTGGCTGGAGAACACAGACACCCAGCATCAGGAGCCTTCAGAAAAGGATCCAGGAATAAACCCAGTGCCCAGCATCTCCAGAAAGTTCTTCTACGCAGTGCTCTCTGCTCTCTGGTTGGAAGGCCCCCTTTGGCCAAGTTCACGGGCAGAATCCATCCCAGGGTTCAGTTCAGCGGTTCAGTGCTTGTTTGTGAGTTGGGGCCAGGTGAGCTCTGAGGTAACATTGACTTCTTCAGCCACTTGGGGCTGTGGCGGCACACGTGTGTGTGTGTGTGTGTGTGTGTGTGTGTGTGTGTGTGTGTGTGTGTGTTATCACCCCAAAGGCTTGAGAATTCCCTTACCTGAGGCCAATGGCTCCTTTCACAGAGCTCTTTTTACTGGGGTGAGTTGTAAGGAACGGATGGGTTACTGGGATAAACGCCCTCGGTATCTCACATGGAGAGTTCAAGTCAGGAGGAGGTGAGGGTGCGGTGTCTGGTATGGAGAGGGCTACATGTGTTCTTGCCCATGTCGATGCTCATTGTCCCATTTCCAAGATGCTGCTTGGTGCGTCGTGTTCTTTTGGTGACTATATTAGCTCTCGCTGCTGTGACAAAAATTCCCCTTGAGAGTGATGGAAGGAAGGAGGATTGATTTTTGCTCACAGTCCAAGGATGCAAGTCTGTCATGACTGAGGAGGTATGGTCCCAGGACCATGAACTATGAGGTGGGTGATCTCACATTTTCATCTGCAGTTAAGAGGTAGAGAGGGCCGAATGCTGGTGTTCACCTGTCTTTCTTCTTTCCTTTTATTCATGCTGGGACCTCAGTCCATGGGACAGTACCGCCACATTCAGTTAAACCTCCTAAGAAACACCCTCACAGGCAGGCCCAGAGATGTGTTGCTGGAGGTTTCTGTCCCACCAAATAAACACACAGACACTATATTAATTATAAAACCATTGGCCGATGGCTAGGGCTTCTTATTGGCTAGCTCTCTCTTAATTATTAACCCATAACTATGAATCTATGTATTTCTACACGGCCTTATCTTACCAGAGAATGCCTGGTGCATCCTGTCTTCCCGGTCTCTACATGGTGTCTCCTCGTGGCCTCTCCCTGCCTCCCTTTCCCAGAATTCTCGTTGTCTCCTAGCCCCGCCTATCTTCCTGCCTCTACTCCCCAAACAGTGTTTTATTCATCAACCAATAAGAGAACCACATATACAGAAGGACACCCCCCCATCAGAGGCGTGTCTCCTGTGATTCCAAATGAGGTGGCATTGACACGGTGGTATTTGCCATCACTGAGGAAGGGCAGTGTTTGCATGCTCTGAGGGCTGTCTTTTCCAGGTGGCAGGATGACCTTTCCAGTTTATGGATGTGCCTGACCTTAGAAGTTCGGCGCTCTTTCCAAGTTCACACCTTCTGCGAGTCAGAGTGAGGGTTAAGGGCTGAGTGTGCTCAGCAGCTCCCCCAGAGCGGCCAGAGCTTCGAGTTATTCTGTGTCCTCTTTGGCATCTGGCCTTGACTTAACACGTAGGAGCCGCTTAACTGCAAACACAGGACTGCAAATTAAAAGGTCTCCCGAGGAGTGGGGAGTCCAGACAGGGAAGTGGGAGAACTTGGAGTTAAATTCATGCCACTGGCCGTGTTGGAACCCAGTGTGTGCCCATCAGTGGCTACACCCCCTTTATGCTTAAAGTTGGCAGTCACGGAGGTCTGTCTCACCTGGTCCTATGTTGTCTTTTTTTTTTTTCCCAACCTCTAAAGATGTGTTGATGTTTATTGGCCATTGTAGATTTATTAGTTAGTTTTGATGCTGCAATAAAACACCATTGCCAAAAGCAATATGGGAAAAGGGAGTTTGTTTTGGCTTAAGGTTCCAGGGAGGGAGGCTGGGGGAGGCTTGGCAGTGTGTGGCTGGAGCAGGAAATGATCACATTTCATCACACAGGAAGCCTAGAGAGTG